CCTGAAGCATTGAAAGGGTACTTCAGGCTCATTTCAATCACTGGTCTCTTTGTTGGGCTGTAGCCCATGAAAGCTTATGCTCAAATAAATTTGTTAGTCTCTAAGGTGCCACAAGTACTCCTGTTCTTTTTGCGGATACAGACTAACACGGCTGCTACTCTGAACTCTTAACCATGTGGACATTTATCTCCTTATGGAGTGGACTGAGACCACCAACTCATTTCACTCAAGCCATCAGACAATCATATACTGACATAAACTGGATTAGAACCATTGGCAGGTTTGCCTTATTTCACACCCAGAAAACACCTGCTTGTTACTCAGATATTTTAATTAAGTATTTTTACTGACTACAAATAGCCTAAACTTTTCACATTAGCTGAATTGGCCAATAAGACTAGTTTTGAAAAGGCAGTCCTGTAATGCTTACCTGCTTTAAACAGGTAAGACGAGGCACAGAAGTCCATCAAGATTTGTGTGATGTTTGAAGTCTAATGGTGAAAAAGGAGCGTTCCCTCCAAAATAAAACTTCAAACATATTCCTTGCTCTTTAAAGGGGGACACAACTGGAAAGTAACTAGTTTCAAATAATTCAATGATCTGATACAGCCTCCTGATAACGGAATGTCAGGATTTTTTGAATTTTTTTTTTTTTAAATTGCTCATCTGCTGATTTTTGAAGGATATTTTGGTTAGCCTCAAGACCAGCATAATGCATGTTAGGATTACCCCTCTCCCTGTTCTCTTTGTGCACATATCTCCCTTCTAACTCATTCATTTTCAGTACTGCTGCTGCTGCCAGAACACACATGATTGCAGAGCCTGGGGAAAGTACACCAATGAGTTTTCTGCTGTTATCTGCTGGGGGAGACAGTAGATATGGGCTCCTTACTGAATAAGACCAGAAATGAAACTGACTATCAATAAAACAGCGAAAGGCATAAAGCAAAACAAACTGCAAAACTTGAGGGGAAAACCCCTCATTTCCCCCCATTATTACTTGTAACAATAATAAATATAAAAATTTCACATGGAAGTGAGATGTTCAAGTTGATAGCATCGCTTTAATTACATTTTGTAAGAGTAAGCCTATGACAAACTATAAATTTAAGTAACTCAAAAACATAATAAAGTAGCTGATTCACTACTATTTTTCAATCCCCTTCTGTAAATACGTAATCACATTTTAATAACAGCTTTTAATATTTAAATACAAATATCTTCACACTGACAGCTCTAATACACTAATGGATATGAGAGGCTAAATTGTGCCAAAGGAGCTATTTTGGTCTACCAACTGCATATTTTAAAATTTTCAAAATATATATTCTTACAGTTGACTGGTAAAAAATAAAGTGTAAGAACTACATTAAAAATGTGAGTTAGGCTGTCTTGAAACAAAGGCAGGAAATTTATAGATTCAGAGATTTTTAAGGCCAGAAGGGATCATTATGATCACCTGCTTTGATGACCTGAGTAAGACAGACAATGGAATTTCACTCAGTAATTCCAGGATCAAATGGATATCTTGTGATTGAGCTACAGTTCAACATCCAATTCCAAAAGACATCCATCCTGAAAAATGTACAACTCAGAGTTAAAGTTTTATCTTTAAAATGGCACTGTCTTAACTTACCTGTTGTAAACAAATATAATATGTAAGCCTCAAAGTGGAGTAAGATGACATGTTCACAGCACAACAGGATGACTTAAAGAGACATTATGAGTGGGTTATTTTCCTCCATATATATTCCCATGTTTACTACAGTTAATTAAAAATAATTAACTAAATCAGTGACTAATATTATTTATTAAATCATTATACCATTTTGATATTTTGTTTCTACTCTGCAATCTCTACAATATGATCAAAGTAAAACTTTAAGTGGAATTTTTATAAAAACCTTCATAATAATCTGTTTGGTTTTACAGTTATTTACATCAGAAATTATGAACCATGGAACAGAGGTAGAAGAAGATATTTTTGTGAAATAAATTAATTTTGAGTTATATTGAAGTTAGCTGTGTCCATATTTTACTAATATCTCTCACTTTAGTTCTTTATTCCATACATGGGCTGTGCCATGTCAAGAGCCTTAAGTTCTAGATAGATGAACTGCATGAGAACAGTTATTTGCCATTCTTTGTTTTATCTGCACATTTTGTAATCCAAACTAACGTGTTAAATTACTGTCCTGTGTTTGCAAGATACAGAGAAGCATTTACAGCATAAAAGTTTTCAGAGTAATCATAAGTATATACCAACAACTGCTAGCATGATCACTGGGAACTGCATTTTACCAAAGCTGTGTCTAAATCCATTGTGGTCACAAACTGTTAAATATTTATATGAGAGAGATAAGACACTCTTTCCTGCGACCAACACAGCTGCATCAACACTGCAAACAAGTATTTATGTGGTGAACCTAAATATGTAAGAGGCAAAACATGGGGCTGTTTGTTTTTTTAAAATGCAACATTGCTGCATTTATTAAAGTAACAGAACCTTTTATATCTTAACATGCGGAAACCCCAAAGCTTGTTAAAATTATGTAGCTCTCATAATTCAAAACGTTGTTGGATAACACAAAGGTTGAAACTTTTCCTGGCAAAGTGCACTGAAACCAGTTTTTACATTTATTTTTACTGCTACTGCTGGTGGAGTTACCTGCTGTATGTTTAAAGAAAAGGTATTGGGGGCTAAAAACTTTTTTAAAAAACAAAAACAAATATTACTAATGTTACAATCACCACCTTAGAATATTAAAACAAATATTTTATGGCTTACTTTGCACTATTTATGCTCTCTTTCTATTGGAATTATTTGAGATACATAAATTAATTTCAAATTCTCTCTTGGCCCTGGTTTTAAGTTTTGTCATGGCTGATATTTACAAAACCAAATTTCGAGATCAAATAAGACATGACAAATCTTAAAACATTCTACTAAATGTGTGAGGGTTTTTTTATCTACAATTGTAAATGCATAAATTGTTTCCCTCCCTGCAAAAGAAAAACAAATCACTCCCCCACTGAAATGCTTTTTTTTTTTTACATTTAAAATTGCAAGTACTAGAGATCTACAATCTAGAAAATGTAGATGTAAAATGAGATAGGAAACTTCATAGCCCACCTTTCTTCTTGACTGGCATTCTTGGTCTTACTTCTGGTACTGGACGCAAGTGCTTATTTACTGGTATCAATGATGTCCCACTGGGATTGCCTTGTGAGCTCAGGAACTAGGTATTTGTTCAAATCACTTAAACAGTTCAGTTAGGAAATACAGCTTCAGTCTTCTTTTTCTAGCAGTACTGACTATTTTCTCCAGTTAAACTTCCAGTGCCTCCCACAGAATAAGAAAAAAAAGAAGAAAAAAGAAGAATTTTGAAAGAGTGGTTTTCAATTTCTGTAAAATATTTTTGAATCTATAAAAATACAAGAGAAAATGCTCCTTGGCATATAAAACCCTATTATAACTCCTCTTCTGGCAGCAAAAGTTTGTCAGTTAAACAACTTTATGTAAGACAATTAAGGCACAGTCCATCTCTAGGCAGCTGTCTTAATATTCCACCTGAACAAGTTCAAAGCCATCTGAGTTTCAGGACAAAAATTCCCAAAAAATCCCAAAATAAATTTCTGGGTGAAAACAAAAGCAATCCAAAATAACTGTATAAACTCCTTTCACTGGAACTTGGGTGAATTTTGCTAGTTATATATAACTGCACTGGGTGCATACACAGCAGACTAAAAAGGTCCCTTTTTTCCTCACTGCACAAATGTTTTCAAATCTCACACTCTTACCCAACAGAAGTCACTCCTCAGTCACTTTCATTTTTATTCTCTCCACCCAGCCTTATGGTCTTTAATGTCCCTCTGATCCTCCCATGTATTAAAAGAGAGGATTGAAAAGGAGGAAAGCAATCCCTTGAAATGGAATTATTAAAGTGACAGTGCTGCTCACTGGGCACTTTGGCAGAGCAGATTGCTTTATTCTGGAGCCATTTACTTCATGCCATTTCTTTCCTTGCAAAGCAGCCGCCTCGTGAAGGAGGAGCAGAGAGGGCTTGGAGCAGAGCTTCACAAAAGGTTAATTTTCAGAAATGCTGCAGTATCAGTGGAATAAAAAAGCAAGCCATGAAATGAGTCCAGTTTCCCCACACAGCTGCTTGGCCTCAGTATAAGCCCTTTTCTCCCCCTTTTTCTGCAGAAAAGAGTTGGATTTCCCCCATCTAGATTGTTAAGAAAGGTATGAAAATGTCATGCAGCTGCCAAATGTTTCCCTGCACGCATGAGGAGCCGTGGTGCATGTTACATAACTCTGCTTTGCATTTATCTTCTAGGAGAGATGGACACTGTGTTTGGGGGCTGTTCTGTTCTGCTCTTTAATGGTCACCATTCAGACCCGGGCCTCTCTCTCTGTTTCCCCCTACACAGATAGATCTTTTCCCCCGTCCTCTTCGGGGGCGGGGGGCTCGTCTGGTCTGTCCCGGGGACGGTCCGTGCAGGGCGGGCTCGCTGGGTTCTGGGCTGCGGTGCAGGGAGGTGCGGGGGAGCAGGGCAGGTTGAAGGAGGTGGGGAGAGGGTGCAGGGGAGGGGCTGGAGGAGGCGGAAGCTGTGGGGAGGGGGGCAGGAGCTGGCAGGCGGGAGTCGCTGGAGGCTGGGCGGGAGGGGCCCGCAGGCAGCGCCTAGTAGGATGCTGAGGCCTGGGGCAGGGGAGAGGCCGCTGCCTCCGCCCGTGTCAGCCGGTTACCCCGAGGGCTAAGGGGCCGCCATTGAGGGCACGGCTAGGGGGAGTCTCCGCGTCTCCAGGTGCAGGGTCCCGGCTCAGCCCCGTCTCCATGGAGGCGCCGCCGATGCCGCCGCCATCCTCCTCCCCTAGCAACGAGAACCCGACCCAGCACCGATCCCGCCTCTCCAACTCCGTGGCCAATCAGGAGTAGCTATGCTGGGCCTTCGGGGACCGCCCAATCATCGAGGCCTTCCGAGGGGGAGTCGGGGTGTGTCTAGGTCATATGATTGGACAAGATGGCGGCCCCCATAGGAGGAATGCGTGTGACAGGGAGGGGCCATGTTGTGGGGCCTGTACGGGCGGCACTGCCATACCTGAAGAAGGAGCAGGGGTAGTAGGGATAGAGCACCCAGCATAAGGTAAGACAGGGGCAGCGGGGCACGACTCTGCTTCACAGAGCCTGAGGGGGCCCCCCCGAGACAGACCAAAGTCGGATCCGCCCAGCTCCAAGGGGGAAGCTGCCCAGCTTGGGGGCGACCTGTCTGTAAGGTCCCGCTGGGTCTCTGTGCTTGCAGGAGAGATCGGTAGGGGTGGGACCCTGGCAAGGCAGCAGGAGCCGCTGGGTGGTTGGCTGCTACATGAAGACACGGAGAGAAAGAGACCTTAAAACAGGGTGGAAGGAAGATAGAGGCAGAGCCATTGTACGCTCACTTGGGAGGTTATTGCTGACGTCTTGAAGGTTATACAGCAAAATTAGATACAAGCAAAAGCAACTCTTGTTATGTGAATAGTATTAAACTAGGCAACCATTTGCTGTACTCAGATTGAAGTGAGATAGTTAACACCTGCAAAATGCTTTATGGATTCTCTTCAGCCGTCCTTCACTAGGTGAAAACAGGAGTGGGCCAAGTCATCACACTCTTCAGTACAAGTTTGGGGTTGCTAACTGAGAAAAAAATTCCAGTTACCCTGTAAGTCAGATAACTGGGGAGTAAGGTTTGAAGGCTGATATTATCTTGTTATACAGTAGAACCTCAGAGTTATGAGCACATTGGGAATGGAGGTTTTTTTTTAACTCTGAACAAAATATTATGGTGGTTCTTTTAAAAGTTTACAACTGAACGTTGACTTAATACACAGAAGCTTTACTATGCAGAAGAAAAATGCTGCTTTCCCTTTATTTTTCTTTAGTAGTTTACCGTTAACACACTTCTGTAATGTATCTGCTTTATTTATTTATTTTTGTCTCTGCTGCTGTTTGATTCATA